CAGGATATGGAAAGCAAGACTATTTATAGTGAATGGTGATGTCCTTAATGATTGTATCCTTGTTCCCCTAGATCTCTTTGACAATTATATAGGCAGCTGTAAAGGAAGAGTGAATGGATTGTTACAAGCCTTATTACTTAACGATATTAAACTGAATTATGTTCAAGAGCCAAAACCCCAAAATGGTAGTGGTATTGTGGGAGGCTGGAAGGGTAGTAATGTATGACTACCAGACAGGATCAAAACATAAAACAACAGTGATGGCACCAATAAAGTGATCTCAAAGAAATAGTTATTTTTATAGAAAGGACTATTTAAAAAGGCAGGTAAGAAACAAACTGTTCGGAGAATGGCAGACAGTGAGATAACAATTCTTGGCTCATGATACTTTAACTGAAACTGAGAGATTTATGAAACTTAGGATAAAGTCTTTTTTATTTTTAAGGGAGCTGTCATGAAGTTTTTACATACTTAAAAGTTGGCTACTCTCCAAGAGAGAGAAAATTAGTTAAACAATTTACATTAAAAATAGGTAGGTCTGGCCCCAGCCGGGTGGCTCAATTGGTTGGAGTGTCATCCCATACACCAAAAGGTTGTACGTTCGATCCCCAGTCGGGGCACATGTGGGAGGCAATCTAGCTATAGGCTGTTTTTAGAGACATATGTAAAACCTAAAAACAAACATAAAAGGATGCAAACAGATGTACTAGAAAAATATTATCCTCTCTCAAGCCCCACCCCATCAGCCCCACAGTACAAAAAGAGCCAGCATCACTACAATACAAAACTTTGATTTTAAGGGAAAAAGCAGCATTTGATAGAGGGCTTCTAAAAAATATAAATTATCAAAACAGGCTCAAAAGGGAATAGAAAACTCAAGACCTAAGCAATGAAGAAAACTGAATCAGCAGTCAAAAATCTATCCCTCCCATTTAAAAAACTACTAGGCCAAGATGAAGCTGTCAAGCAGGATATAACTCTCCATCTTACTGACTCAAAACTGTTCCAAAGAAGAGAAAAAGAGGATTAACTCCCCAACTCATTCCTCACTCTATAAGGCTAGGATTTCACTGCTACCAAAATTACACAAGGATAACAGAACAAGTAAAATTGTAAGGCCAATCCCACTTATGAATGCATAAAAAGAAAAAAATTATCATCGCCCTGGCAGGTGTGGCTCAGTTGGTTGGACATTGTCCTGTGCACCGAAAGGTTACCGGATCAATTCCTGGTCAGGGCACGTGCCCAGGTTGTGGGCTCGATCCCTGGTAGGGGATATGCAGGAGGCAGCAGATCAATATTACACTTTCACATCAATGTTTCTCTCTCTCCCTTCCTCTCTCTAAAAATCAATAAATTATTATTTTAAAAAACTAGCATCAAGTCCAACAATGTATAAAAAGTTAATATATTTCATCGAATTGAAAATGTCACTGATTATAAGATATATCATTACTTTATATACTGAAAAAGAAAAATGCTGTCACTTCAACCATAACATAATGGTTTCTTATCACGCATACATTTTATTTTATAGTTACTGACAGAGCTTTCTAGACTTATTTACACAGACTGTTAATCAACTATCATTCCTATGCATTCAAGAAAAACATAAGCAAAATAAATAGATAAGATCTTCACATTTACAACCCAACTCTTCTGAATCACTTTTCAACACATAGTTTTTGATATTCCTCTTGCCATCAAGAGACAGTAGTGTAACAGTTCATAAAAGAGTCTCAACCATTCTCTCTGGTACTTTCCTCTAAGCCACTGACACACATTCTGAAAGTTTGGATGCTGAAATTTTCTTTAACTTACCAGAAGATAAGCAACAGGAAGTTTTCAGGTAACAATCAAGATTCACAGTCCTTCTTTAAATGGTCCTTAAATGGTTGTAGACTAAACCACTAAGGAATTACAGGTGACCAAATTCAACCAAGAGCAATTAGATGTCATTGACTACAAAACATATTCTAATTACAGAAATGTGAAAAATCTGCACCTCAAAATCAAATATGGTCTATCACAATCAAATAGGGTTTATCTCAGGAAGGCAAGAATAGTTGAACATTAGAAAATATTGAAGTAGGTCACTACAATAACAGACTAAAGAAAAAAATCTCAATGTATGCAGAAAAGCATTTGATAAAATTCAACAATCATAACTTTTTTAAAAACCTCTTGGCAAAACAGAAATAGAAAGAAGCAAACAACCTTATGTAGCTAGCCACCTGCCAACATTTCAGAGAGAGAAAAAAACCAACAGTAAAATACTAGAAACATTCCCTTTAAAGGCAAGAATAGGATAAAGGTGACTGCCATCATTGCTTCTACTCAGTATTATATAAAAAGTCTTAGCAAAATCAATGAGACAGGAAACTAGCCCCGGCCAGTGTGGCTCAGTTAGTTGGGCATCACCCAGTCAGGGCACATGCCCACGTTTCAGGTTTGATCCCTGGTTGGGGCTCATGCAGGAGGCAGCTGATGGATGTTTCACTCTTACATCAATGTTTCTCTCTCTCTCTCCCACCCCCCCTTTCCTTTCTCTCTAAAAAATCAATTTAAAAATAATAATAATAATAATAATAATAATAGAGATAGTACAAGAACTGGAAAAGAAAAAAGAACTAAACTATTATCAACCCAAATATTCTAAAATAATCTACAAACTATTGCACTATAAGAGAGTTCAGCAAGGTTGTGGAATACAACAGTCAATATATAGAACTCCACAGAGGGTCTATAGTACAGCAAGAGATAACTTAAAAATGTAAGTTTATAAAAAATCCTATTCATAATAGCTTCTAAATCAAGATACACAGGGAAAAATCTAACCAAAGATGTAATGCATTTTTACAGGAAATGTTTAAGCCTTATTAAAAACAAAACATTTACTAATAAAAAGAAACTAAGGTACTTAGTAAGATATAAATGAAGTGATATAAAATATTTATGAGTAGGAGTAAACCATCAATTTCGTGGACCTCGATTTAACAGACTTCAAATTTAACGAACTAAATTTCTGATCCTTATTAATATTTCTGCCCCTAACGTAATTTTGATGTGGTTGTGCGAGGATTCGAGTGCCGTGTTTACTTGTGCTGCCATCTTGACCAAAACTAATTTTAAGTCACTTTAAACAGCATAGCATTGAATTTCTGTGTATATGTTTCCTTGAGTACCTTTGTAAAAGTATTTCTAGGGATTATACCTAGAAGTAGAATTGCTGGGGTTTAGGGCTCTTCATCTTTATATTTACTAAGTGATTATAACAGTTTCCATTGTCCTCTCCAATGTATGATAGTTCCATATCCCTATAATCTTGCCAAGTCTTGGTATTTTTAAACTTTTAATTTTTGCCAATCTGAAGGATATAAAATTACATATCATCTAATAGCAATTGCCTTGAAATTGAACACATTTTCATAAATCTATTGGCCATTTTCAATTCTATAAAATTGCCTATTTATATTATTGCCTTATTCCACTGGATTTGTCTTTCTGATTGGTATAAGGTATCTATATACCTATATTTCACATTATTTTCTCCCAGATGAGGCTTTTTACCTTTTGAAAAGTATGAAGAACAATTTGATAGATTTTTTTTTTTATGCTGAATTATTTTTTCTTTTTAGGTTGTTTTTTGTGCTTCTGCAAGATAGTCTTTCCTACTTTGACAAATATTTCTTATATTTTATGAGTTTTAAATTTTTAAATTTAGGCCTTTAACTCATCTGGATTTTTTATTTATTTATTTATTTTTAATATGTTTTTACTGACTTGAGAGAGAGGAAGGGAGAGAGAGAGATAGAAACATCAATGATTAATAACTTGCTATAACAGCTCATAGAACTCAGGGTAACACTTAACTTACATTTACCAGTGTATTATAATGGATATTAAAAAGGATATGAATAAAAAGTCAGATGAAGAGGTACATAGGTCCAGGAGGGTCCTGAGTGCAGGAGCTTCTGTCCAAGGAAGGTTGGAGCACACCACCCTCCTGTCACATAGATATGTTCACCAACCTGGAAGCTCTCTAAACGCTATAGTTTAGGAATTTTTATGGAGGCTTCATCATGTAGGCATGACTGATTAGTAACTCAATCTCCAGCCCCTCTCCCCTCCCTGGAGGAATCACACCTTGGTTCCTCTGGCAACCAGCCCCCATCCTGAAGCTATCTAGGAATCCATCAAGAGTCACCTCATTAGCATACAAAAAGACACTCTTATTAATTCCAGAGATACCAGGGTCTCAGAAGCTCTTACATCAGGAATTAAGAACTAAGACCAAATATTACAACAAAAAAATGTTGTAATATCCACCTCTTATCACCCTCTCAATTTTTACAGAGTGAAATGCTTCCTCTCTCTGATGGCCTACGGGCTAATAAATCCTGGTATAGATATGCTAATTAACTAAAGAAATTCTGCTTGAGGCTTGAGCAGCCCCCTTGTCAGAGTAATGACCGATTTTCAAAGATTCACAGGAGTCTCCATAACTGGACTCATACGGGGGGAGGGTGTCAACCAACCAACCAGGAACTAAGGGACTGAGAAATTTTGTATTCTTCCTTGGATCCCTTTGGATGCCTACCCGTCTACAGGCTGCACCCACCCCTTGCCTCGCCCCTCCTCCCTTCCCTTAACAATAAAAGATGCCTGAATCCACTCTCATAAGATGGATTTGAGAGTTAGTTCTCCCTTCTCCTTGAGCTAGGCCATCTCGGTCAATTAAGCTTTCCTTACTCCAAAACTCTGATCTATTGAATATTATTACTCAGAAAATTACAAAAGTTTTATAAACTCTTGTGCCAGGAACTGGACAAAGACCAAATATATATCTTACTATATCATGATATCACACAAACAATAAAAGGTAAGGAGTTAAAACTCTCAGGGGAAAATATTTTCATTATTATTCCTTGGTTGTAAAAGTATTTCTTGTGTTCTTTATACCGATGAAATAATTTTTGAGACTGCTAAGACCAACAAATATAAGCTGCATTTATTATGTAAAAATTAAGAATGGCTCAGGCTATATATAATGGTAGTTGGATATAAAATGTGCTAAATCTCAGCTTCTAGAAGAGCTGATTTTTAACTCAATCACCCTCTGAGAGAAGACATACCAGCTCGCATGATTTCATCAACAAGGAGAATGTTCGCAGCAATCACTGTACTGAAGAAAAAGATGACAGGGTGAGTAAAACCTACCAACTCACTCTCATCTTTTTCCCCTAGCAATCTTCAGCTACTAAAGGTACTTTGTTTTTCAATGTTGGTGTGACATTTTATGAGATTATAAATACAAACATCCCCCTTGTATTATAATTTCAATTCTTTTGCTAATGAAGTAGAAAGCCTGATTGTATCTTCCAGCAAAATTAACCTCTTTTTTAAAAAAAATTATGTTTTTATTGATTTTAGAGAGAGAGGAAAGGAGAGGAAGAGAGATAGAAACATTGGTGAGAGAGAAACATCAATCAGCTGCTTTCTGCACCCTCCCTATGGGGGATAGCGCCTGCAACCCAGGCATGTGCCCTGGCTGGTAATCGAACCGTGACCACTTGGTACATGGGATGATGCTCAACCAACTGAGCCACACCGGCCAGGCAAATGGACCTTATTTTTAGCACATCATTTGATTTTCCCTACTATGCATATGGTACTATTACAGTAAAGTCCTTTCCTTCCCTTCCCCCTCAAATAAACAGTAAGATTAACACTTCCTATAACTTACATTGCTAGAATTAAAATGTTAGAGGGACTGAAAATTGACAAAAGCCAGTCTTAATAAGGAATACCATGCCTTTTCATACAGTTAACCATTTTTCCACTATAGGATGGCAAAAATAATAGAAAGTAATTGTTATCAATTATGTCCCCCAAAGTCTTTCCCTTTTATTAATATAAACTTACCAAGAGTGAAGAAGTTGTTTTTTCACACAATAATTATCCCAAATTCCTGCATCTGCTGCTACCATTGGCTCACCTGCAAAATAAAAAACTATTTTAATACTATAATGTTGATATATTAATATCTGTTGTATATTCTAACAATATTTAATATACCACCAAAACCAGAATTGTCAGTGTCACCAATGACCTACATGCTGTCAAATCCGATGGTCGATTCTCAGGCCTCATCTATCAGCAGCACTTAACACACATAATCATACCCTCCTGACTATTCTTCCATCACTTGTCTTCCAGGACAGCACACTCGCCTGGTGTTTTCTCTTGCACTAGTGGCTCCTGTTCTGTCTTCCTCTCCCTCCTCGAGCTCTTACTGTTGAAGTACCTAAAGGCTCAGTCCGGGATTCTTCTCTTCTCTCTATGCTCACTCTAGGTGATCTAATCCAGTCTCCTGGATTTAAACCATATACACTCTGATGACTCTCAAGCTTTTATCTCCAACCCAGACCTCTTTCTTGAGCTCCAGACTCATACACTCAACTATCTATTTTAGATACTTCACACTTACCTTTGCCAAAGCTCAATGCTGATCACCACCACCCCCACTACAACCTGCTCTGCCTAGTCTTCTCCAATGGCAATTCCACACGTCTAGTTGTTCAGTTAATTCCTCTGCACAGAGTAGCCAGTGATCCTTTTAAACATAATTAGACCATGTCACAGCTCTGCTCAAAATTGCTCCCTATTCCACTACAGTTAAAGTCAGAGTCCTTAGACTGACCCATATGCCCCTACATAATCTGACCTTCCACCACCTCCCTCACTTCCTTCCTCCTCATCAAAAATATCAGACAGTGATTTTCCACTGGCCATTCCCTCTGCCTAGGATACTCTTTCCCCAGTGTCCCACATGGCTAACTTCCTCACTTCTTTTTTTTCAATAGATGTATTCTCAATGAGGCCTACCCTGATCATCCTCTTTAAATTGAAACCCCTTCCCCACCCTCCTGTGCTAGCATTCACAATCATCCTTATACTGTTTTTCTACTTTTTCACAGAATTTATTACTTTTAAAAATAACTTATTTATTAAGGTTATTTTTTACTGTCCATCCTTCCCCACTACAACATAAGCTCACAAGGACAGAGATTTTTATGTTTTGTTTTGTGTGAATCCCAAGAGTCAAATTAACAAGCACTCAGTGACTATTTTTTAAATGAATGGATACTTTAAGAAGTTCAAAGGTAAACTAAAAGGCTCCTAAAATTTAAATATTAAAATCACTCAAACCTCCACCCCCTTAACTATAACTTCTGGATTACTATAATATAACCTCTTTCTTTATTAGGCAGCTAATTTTTCTTCACTTACTTACCTGTATTCAAATCAATGCCAATAGGTTGTTTTGATTCTAAATGCTCCGCCTGAACTTTTACTAGTGTTTCCTGTGGGTCATAACCAGAATTCTGAGCAAGAACCTTGAGAAATAAAAATAATAATAAATACATGTGCGAAATACCTTCATATATATGTGAATATCAAATACAAAAAATAAAGCACTGCTCTCTAGTCTTGTGAAAACATATTCATGGTATAGTAATCATCTCCTTTTGAGGAATTTCATTCTTAATCTAAATCAAATGATTATTTTGTGTATCTAGCATTTTTTATATTTACTTAAACATTTTCCCTATGTACAGCACACTAAATTCTAAGGAGAGTATTAAGAGTTCCCCCACCCCACCCCACTAAATAAATTTCCCTCCTCCCAAAAGATTTTAAAAACAAAAAACATGAAAGGAAGTAGAATGGTATTCTTGTTTCCTCTAGCCACACATCTTCCCATTTTTCCTGGGCACTTGCAAAAGGAAACCTGCATATTTGCAGCATCTTTGTGCCCCTCATCAACATGAGGAAAGTCATGACCTGTGGCAACAGGGATGGAGATACCTGCATTCCAACCCAGGTCTATTTGCAAGTGGTTCCAAACCAACAGCTAATGAGTAAAAAGGTAAGACTAATATATACTAGGTTTACCAGTTTGTGTCAACTATAGGATCATTACTTACTGACTTTGCTTCTCTGGGGAAAGAAAAACAGATTTCTGATTCATAAAGATTCCACAAATTATGAATAACTTTAAAGCAATTATCAAAGAGACTTGGTTAGCATTGTTAGTAATGTTTTAATTCATGGTAATAGCATATTCGGAACAGTTTTTCTGTGATTTGAAGTAGTTCACAACCAGATTAAGGCAAAGGAAAAGGAATGGTAGTTCTCTGTCCTACTGATACATAAAAAAAATTTGGTTTCTCTCTTTTTCTAAGGAATTATAATGAAAATAGAATGCAAGCTAGTATTGGGGAGTGCTAAACAGCCTGAAGTTCTCACACAATTTAAAGTGATAATACTTTGGATATGACCAACAAAATAAAGGTCTACTCTAAAATCTAACTAAATCTTAAATTCTAAGCTTTTTCATTATGATTAGTTAATCAAGAAGCATTTTTGAAGTTACTTCAACTTTTGGAACTCAGAGAATAAAGCATGGGGGTAATTTGACTATTTCATTAAACTCCTACAAGGATCCTGAGGTGTTATTCCAAAAATTTCCCTGCTTTGGCTATAAAATATCTAAGACAACACTGTGTGAGGAAATGCAAATAAATGTCTTGCACTCTGCTAACTGTGAGATAGTATTGGCAATTTATAATTAAACACCTTATGTCTAACCAGTTATTCTGTGGCCATTACAATAGCTTTACCTTAGGAATGATGAGTAAGGCATCAGCAAAAGCTTGGACTCCAAGACGAGCTCTTCCTTTTATACTGTGCTTGTACATAATAAGAGCTTCAGCTATTGCGACTTCAACTGCACCCGCTCCTGGAACCACACACCCTATTGGAGGGGAAAAAATGATTGACGAGACATGCCGTACACAAAAAACAGAGAAAAAACCAACTAACTATTCAAGTGTGTTCTATCATCTTGTCTACATCTAAAGTATACTTAACTATATACAGAAATAAAATAGCTGCACAGCTCAGTGATTACTCAGATGTTTTGTGAAGCATCCTGAAGTTATACATCATTAAATAATTAAGCATGGTACAGACAACTGGCTACAAATAGCTTATTTCATTGTTTTCCTGGCAAATAAAAGTAGACACCTCTTCCACCTTCAACTTACTCCTTTATGACTACATTTAAAATGCAGTTATTTGTAACTTGTAGTGGCAAGTAACTAAATGTAGTATCTGATTTGGTAATTTTTTACATACACTGCTGGTGGTAATGTAAAATGGTACCTGGCAAACAGGTTGACAGTTTCTAAAAAGTTAAGCATATGCCTTCCATAACCATTGCATTTCTAGGCATTTACCCAAGAGAAATGAGAGCATATGTCCATACAAAGACTTGTATACAAGTGTTCATAGTAGCTTTATTTGTAATAGCCAAGAACTGTAAATAACCAAATGTTCATCAACAGATGAATGCATTATTCCATTCACATGAAATTCTAGAAAATGCAAACTAATCTGTAGCAACAGAAAGAAGACTGGTGGTCACCTGAGGATAGGGTGATAGGGGAGAGCCAGAGGGGAGGAATTACCAAGAAGCAACGAGGTTCACTTTTTAGAATGGTAGATATGTTCATTATCTTGACTGAGGGGATAGTTTTATGGGTGTACACTTTTTTTTTTTTAATATATTTTTATTGCCCGGCNAATATATTTTTATTGCCTGGCCGGGCGTGGCTCAGCGGTTGAGCGTCAACCTAGGATCCAGGAAATCGGGGTTCGATTCCCGGTCAGGGCACATGCCCGGGTTGCAGGCTGCAGCCAATCAATGACTCTCTCATCATTGATGTTTCTGTCTGTCTCTCCCTCTCCTTTCCTCTCTCTGAAATCAATAAAGATATATTTTTTTAAAAATATATATATATATATATATTTTTTTATTCATCTCAGAGAGAGGAAGGGAGGGATAGAAACATCAATGATGAAAATCATCGATTGGCTGCTTCCTGCATGCCCCCGGCTGGGGACCAAGCCTGCAACCTGGGCAGGTGCCCTGACAGGGAATAGAACCATGATCTCCTGGATCCTAGGTTGATGCTCAACCGCTACGCGACACTGGCCGGGCTATGGGTATACACTTTAAATATATGTGGTTATTACATGTCAATTATGCTCAATAAGATTATTTATTAAAAACTAAGCATTTGACGGCATTTAAAAAAATAGTCAATTCATTTTTCTGTGTTTCCTAAATCCTAAGAATCGGGTTGAACTACTAAAGGCTACATAGGCATGTATGTTTATCTTGTTGTGAAAACGCTGCTAGCTTTTATCAAAAGTGACTACAAAAAAGAGTGACCTAAGAGAAAGCCTATTATTTTTTCAACATAGGAACTGAATGAAACCTATATAACTAATTGTAGCTTTTTATATCCTGGCAGCTTAAATATTCATAGTGATTATTATATTTGCTATAGCATTTACATTCTTTTTTCCTAGATTCTAATTTTCCATTTCAGCTTTCATTTGACCATTATTTCACATCTATGTTTTTGCTTATCAGATAAATCTGGCCTATTGTTTATAAGGTTTATTACTCTATTTTTACATATATAATTCACATTCCATAAAATTCAGCATTTTAAAGTTATACTTTTTAGAAGTTTTTGGTATATTCACATGGTTGTGCAACCATCACCCCTAGCTAATTCCAGAACATTTAAAAAAACAACAATACCCTATACCCTTTAGCAATCATTCTCTATTTCCCACTTCCCCAGCCCTGAGCCACCACTAATCTACTTTTTGTCTATATGGCTTTGTCTTTCCTGGATATTTCATACAAATGGAATCACATAATACATAGCCTTTTGTGTCTAAACTCTTTTATTTAGCATAATGTTTTCAAGGTCATCGTGTTGTGCCATATATCAGTGTTTATTACTTTTTGAGGTCAAATAATACTCCATTGTATGGATATACCAAATTTTGTTTATCCATTCATTAGCTAATGGATATTTGGATTGATTCCACTATTTGGTTATTATAAATAACGCTGCTGTGAACATTCGTGTACAAGTTTTTTGTGTGGACATATATTTTCAAATCTCTTGTGTATATACCTAAGAGTTGATTTGCTGGTTCATACAGTAACTCTATATTTAACTTTTTGAGGAACTGCCTAACTGTTTTCCAACAGTTCCCACCAGCAACTGTATATATGACGGTTCTAGCATTTATTATTGTCCGGCTCTTTGACTGTAGCCATCCTAACATGAAATGGCATCTCTTTGCGGCTTTGATTTTCTTTTCCCTAATGACTAATGATGTGGAGCATCTTTTCATGTGCTTATTATTCTATTTTAAGCATGTATGTTTTTATTGAATTACCTATCCTAACTCCTTTCAGAAGGAAGCTCATTATAAATTATCAATAAATAATAAATGCTAATATTTTGTCCTAATCTTTCTTTAATTTTTTCAATTACAGTTTACATTCAGTATTATTTTGTATTAGTTTCAGGTGTTCAGCATAGTGGTTAGACAACCATATACTTTACACTGTACCTGATTTAACAGAATGCATTCTAAGCAGTAAAAGCTTCTTTATGGTTTTAAAAATAAAAAATGATATTACAGCATTAAGTGCTTTTTCATTTCATAAACAGAAGATAATTAAAAGGACAGCATACTATTAAGAATATTCCAAAGGGATAAACCTTCACAATCCAAACTATAAATTGTCCAAAGTAAAATGAGAGAATAGTTATCATTAATACCTTTTAAAATATTACACATACCATGATATATTTATTACCACTTTAAAAATATGAGAGATTCATATCCATCACAAAAAAGAACTTACCATCTTCAATGGCATTTTTGATGGCACGAAGTCCATCCCTTACAGCATCCTTGATTTGTGTGAGAGTATGCTTATTTGGTCCCTTAACCAACAAGGTGACAGAGCGAGGGTTTACACAGTCCTCAACAAAAGTGAACTTTTCTTCACCCTAAAGGATAATACAAGAAGATATAACTTTATTATGTAATGTCATTATGTCAATCTTCATATGAATTTTTCATGTCAAGTATAAGTAAATATATGTTAAAAGCAATTAAGTTATATTTGAACTCTTAACAAACAGGTAAATAAATTGTAAAATCTATCCTGTGGATTATTCAGACTTCAAAATGTAAAACCTGAATTAAAATGTTTAGTATTAAGGAAAAAAAAAGGTAGTTTACTGTTCACTTTATAACCAGTGCCCCAGGAAATACTCACTAATGCATATTCATATACAAGACCAGCATGTCCCAAGCAATCTACACTGAGGTCTTCAAGAGAATTCACAGCTATTCCACCACAAGCAAGAGTGAGTCTGAAATTACATATACGTCAACACAGCTTTGGTTATGGAAAACATAAAGACTAATTTCTTAAAGGTGAAGAGATATCTAACATGGAACACTGCACTGTCACTGTATTATACTGCTTGTAAAACCTGTTTTAAGAAGATAAAAACCTTTCTTGTACTTCAACAAAGTTCTGAGGTAAGTTAATCTTGATTTTTGACAGTTCCATTATTTACTGAAATTAAAAACAAAATTTGAAATGCATATGCTACTATTTTGCTCAACAATGTTTACATATAAACTAAAAGGAATACACATGGGATAATTTCAGTCTAATCTGTTAATAAACTTAGAACACCTAATTATCTGCAAGCTTACTGCAAGCTTACCTTTCCATATTTCTTCTCTTTGCTCTGCGAAGAGCTACTATGCCATGTTTTGCAAGCGCATCTAAGGAAAATGGATCGATTCCCTATAATCAAATTAGCACAAAAGTTACAAGCATGTTTTAAGCCAATAGTCTTAAAACTTTTTGATCTCAGCACTGCTTCACACTCTTAAAAGCTATTAAGAGCCAAAAGTGCTTTTTGTTTGTGAGCTGTATAATATTTATCATTCATTAAAACTGAGAAATTTTTTAAATATTTATTAATCCATTTAATATAAATAAGAAACCCATCTATGTTAACATAAAAAATAATTTCTTAATGAAAATTTACTAGTTTCCTAAACAAACAAAAAAATACAGTTGAGGGTGTGGCACTGTTTTATACTTTTGCAAATCTACTATCTGTCTTGTATGTTTTTGTGGGGGGGGGTTGTTGTTTTTTAAGAGTGGAAGGGAAGGGGGTGGAGAGAGAGAGAGAGAGAGAGAGAAATCGATGTGAGAAACATCAATAGGTTGCCTCTCGCACACAGCCTACCTGGGATGGAGCCCAAAACCTGGGCATGTGCCCTGACCAAGGATCAAACAGGCAAACTTTCAGTGCATGGGACGACACTCAACCAATTGAGCCATACTGGCCAGGGCTTTAATGTCTGTCTTAATAGAAGACAGCTGAATTTTCACATCTGCTTCTGCATTTGATTTGGTGCAATATGTTGTTTTGTCTAAAGTATAAGAAGAAAACCTGGCCTCACAGATATATCTATTGGAAAAAGGAGGAATATTTTAACAGCCTTTTCAGATAAATGTGGGTATTCTTCTTTGATGCTATACCAAAACTCAACAAGTGGTTAATTTCAATGTGGAATATGGAAACATATCAATGAACTTACCATACTCTCTCACATTAAAATCCATTTGTCTATCCTATACTTTGAACTGATTATTAGGCATTTAGAAAATATTGGCTCACTAAGCTAGGCAGAGCTTCCAAATGTTGACACATTCATGGTTATACAATATCAAAAATATCACCTTTGCTAATATCATCACTAATATTATCAGAAAAGTCTTTTAAATATTGGAAATCTGTAAAGCTCACAGGGGCTCCTACAGGTTTTCCAAAATTCTAATTTTTAACATTAGAATTTTCCAAAATTCTAATGTTATCACCGGTAACAAATACTGTCAGTTGTTTTCCTTCAAGTGACAGGATTGCTGCATTCATTTTTGANTTTGAAGTCTCCAATGTTATCACCGGTAACAAATACTGTCAGTTGTTTTCCTTCAAGTGACAGGATTGCTGCATTCATTTTTGAGAAAATAATACCAAATACCCATGTTTAAATAAAGGCAGTTTGTCTGTCATTCTTTCAAGTAAAAATGGCATTGTATGAAACTCAATTACACAAGGGCTTTCCTTCAATGCAATCATACTTTGATATGCCACAAAAGTGTTTTGTGCATAATTCATATTTTATCACACAGAATTATTTAAGGATCAAAATTCAATAAAATTAATAAGTTTTACTACTTCATCAAGACATTCTTAAATGAACTTTTTTTTGAACTGCCAGTGTGTGGTGGTATGTCAACAGAGTACGATGACTACTAGTATAGTTTGGTGCTACTGCTTCGATTTGTGCTAAGGCACCAGCAGTTTTGCCTACCTTTGTTTTTGCATCATTGCAAATTTCAACACAATATAAAAAGATTATTAATATTATGAAAATAGTTTTGTCCTCATGAACTCCCTGAAATGGTCTTAAGGACTCCTACAAGTCCACAAACCACACTTTGAGAAGCACTGAAGAAATTTACAAATATTTAAAATCTAAACATTTTTTTCTCACCTTTTGATTAATGACAACAAATCCTCTGTTGGACTGAGCACAGACTTTGTCTTTCAGGTCTATTATTTTTTGTACTCTATCATCAATAAATTTTCTTTCAGCTTTTACCAATTGCTCTTTTTCTTGGGCAGTCTTATAAAAGAAACCAGAGCTCACCTCTCTAAAAGATTAATAAAAAAAAGCTAGTAAAGGCAGTGGGGGAAAGAGAAAAAGGTAGGAGTTTATACTAAACAGTGGGAGGGAAGAGATTAAAAAACACTTTTAGAAAAAACAATTTCATAAGATTATAAAGAGTAAATGACATACATACGTTTTTTCATATTCCAGTGATACATTGCAAGTAAGGATAAATGCATTTTCTACTCGCTTCTTCATTTCTGGATGACGGGCACCATGATCCAAAACTAATCCCTTGATCAACCTATTAAAAATATATAATGTTTCTTTCTTTGAATGTATACTGTACCCATGACAAACGTTTAAAATGAGTTAAGTCCCAAATCAACCAGATGCTACACACAGCACATACATATCCAGGCCATGTTAGTTTCAGGGCCCCTCTTACCTCTCTGGCCTCATCACCTCCTACTACTTCTTCCTCTGATTCTACTCTAGGCACAAAAGAACATCCCAGCACATTTCTACCTCAGGGCCTTTTTAGCTATTATTTCCTCTGCTTAGAACACTTTTATTCCAGATATTCATATGACCTATTTCTTCAGAGACCTCCTTAGTTCTCTAATTTAGTTTCATGTTGCTCTAAAATCACACACACGCTCACACACACTGTTACTCTAAACTCTTCATAGAATTTATTATCACTTATTTGTTTACTACCTCCAACTAGAAATGTAAGCTTTTTGAAAAGAAATTGTTTTGTTTACTTTTCATTCTTAGCATCTAAAACAGTGACTGGCTCTGGTAAGTATCCAATAAACATATGTTGAATGAATAACCCATAAAATTAATGGAAAACTATCTGAAGGTAACCAAATAATCTAGAATCTATGTATTGCCAACATTTATGTAATTTACTTTGTATCTGTTTCTGATTTGTGCTTCATCTCCATGATTTCTACCATGAAGAGATCAATAGGAAAACTCGGTCTTCTAATAGCCGAAACAGAATCCACCACAGCCTGAAAGAGAAGTGAATAAGAATAGTAAATTATTTGGTCTACTAAAGAAAACCACTGGTCCAAGTAATCTATCACCAGACTAAGCAGGCAAAGAGTTTCAGGCTCCAAGACATAGGTCAAGACCAAAAAGTGCCAGTTGGTCATGGACACTAATAATTACAGCCTAAAGGGACTTCAGAGATCATCAGGTCCAAACCCTTTATTTACAGATAAGGAAACTAAGACAAAACTTTAAGTAAAGTTACCATCTTGCCCAGCTGACATGGCTCAGTGGTTCGGCATCAACCCATGAACCAAGAGGTCACCGGCTCAATTCTCAGACAGGGCACATGCCCAGGTTTTGGGCTCAATCCCCAGTAGGGGTCCTGCAGGAGGCAGTCAACCTATCTCTCTATCCCTCTCCCATCCTCTCTCTCAAAAATCAATAAAAACATATTTTTTAAAAAAAAGAAGTTACGATCTTAAAACAAGGTCTAAATGATAGTAGCAATGGTAGTAGCAGGGCCAGGACTAGAATTCAGGTCTCTGGAACTGCCAAGCCACTGTTCTTTCTACTGTAAAAATACTGCTCAAACCTTTCCACCAAAGGATACCTTAATAAAAAAGAAGGAAATCTGCCCAGCTGGGTGTGGCTCAGGAGTTGAGTGTCCACCTTGGATCCAGGAGATTGCAGTTCAATTCCTGGTCAGGGCACATACCCCGGTTGCAGGCTCAATCCCCAGTCGAGGGCGTGCAGGAGGCAGCCAATCAATGACGACTCTCTCATCACTGATGCTACTCCCTCCCTCCCTCCCTCTCTCTTTCTCTCTCTCCCCCCTTCCTCTCTCTGAAATCAATAGATATATGTTT